CCCTCACCCAGACCCCACACATCCCTCACACAGCCCTCACCCAGACCCCACACATCCCTCGCCCAACCCCCACACATCCCTCACCCAGACCCCACACATCCCTCACCCAGACCCCAGACCCCACACATTCCTCACCCAGACCCCTCACCCAGACCCCACACATCCCCCACCCAGACCCCACACATCCCTCGCCCAGACCCCACACATCCCTCACCCAGACCCCTCACCCAGACCCCTCACCCAGACCCCTCACCCAGACCCCTCACCCAGACCCCTCACCCAGACCCCTCACCCAGACCCCTCACCCAGACCCCTCACCCAGACCCCTCACCCAGACCCCTCACCCAGACCCCTCACCCAGACCCCTCACCCAGACCCCTCACCCAGACCCCTCACCCAGACCCCTCACCCAGACCCCTCACCCAGACCCCTCACCCAGACCCCTCACCCAGACCCCTCACCCAGACCCCTCACCCAGACCCCTCACCCAGACCCCTCACCCAGACCCCTCACCCAGACCCCTCACCCAGACCCCTCACCCAGACCCCTCACCCAGACCCCTCACCCAGACCCCTCACCCAGACCCCTCACCCAGACCCCTCACCCAGACCCCTCACCCAGACCCCTCACCCAGACCCCTCACCCAGACCCCTCACCCAGACCCCTCACCCAGACCCCTCACCCAGACCCCTCACCCAGACCCCTCACCCAGACCCCTCACCCAGACCCCTCACCCAGACCCCTCACCCAGACCCCTCACCCAGACCCCTCACCCAGACCCCTCACCCAGACCCCTCACCCAGACCCCTCACCCAGACCCCTCACCCAGACCCCTCACCCAGACCCCTCACCCAGACCCCTCACCCAGACCCCTCACCCAGACCCCTCACCCAGACCCCTCACCCAGACCCCTCACCCAGACCCCTCACCCAGACCCCTCACCCAGACCCCTCACCCAGACCCCTCACCCAGACCCCTCACCCAGACCCCTCACCCAGACCCCTCACCCAGACCCCTCACCCAGACCCCTCACCCAGACCCCTCACCCAGACCCCTCACCCAGACCCCTCACCCAGACCCCTCACCCAGACCCCTCACCCAGACCCCTCACCCAGACCCCTCACCCAGACCCCTCACCCAGACCCCTCACCCAGACCCCTCACCCAGACCCCTCACCCAGACCCCTCACCCAGACCCCTCACCCAGACCCCTCACCCAGACCCCTCACCCAGACCCCTCACCCAGACCCCTCACCCAGACCCCTCACCCAGACCCCTCACCCAGACCCCTCACCCAGACCCCTCACCCAGACCCCTCACCCAGACCCCTCACCCAGACCCCTCACCCAGACCCCTCACCCAGACCCCTCACCCAGACCCCTCACCCAGACCCCTCACCCAGACCCCTCACCCAGACCCCTCACCCAGACCCCTCACCCAGACCCCTCACCCAGACCCCTCACCCAGACCCCTCACCCAGACCCCTCACCCAGACCCCTCACCCAGACCCCTCACCCAGACCCCTCACCCAGACCCCTCACCCAGACCCCTCACCCAGACCCCTCACCCAGACCCCTCACCCAGACCCCTCACCCAGACCCCTCACCCAGACCCCTCACCCAGACCCCTCACCCAGACCCCTCACCCAGACCCCTCACCCAGACCCCTCACCCAGACCCCTCACCCAGACCCCTCACCCAGACCCCTCACCCAGACCCCTCACCCAGACCCCTCACCCAGACCCCTCACCCAGACCCCTCACCCAGACCCCTCACCCAGACCCCTCACCCAGACCCCTCACCCAGACCCCTCACCCAGACCCCTCACCCAGACCCCTCACCCAGACCCCTCACCCAGACCCCTCACCCAGACCCCTCACCCAGACCCCTCACCCAGACCCCTCACCCAGACCCCTCACCCAGACCCCTCACCCAGACCCCTCACCCAGACCCCTCACCCAGACCCCTCACCCAGACCCCTCACCCAGACCCCTCACCCAGACCCCTCACCCAGACCCCTCACCCAGACCCCTCACCCAGACCCCTCACCCAGACCCCTCACCCAGACCCCTCACCCAGACCCCTCACCCAGACCCCTCACCCAGACCCCTCACCCAGACCCCTCACCCAGACCCCTCACCCAGACCCCTCACCCAGACCCCTCACCCAGACCCCTCACCCAGACCCCTCACCCAGACCCCTCACCCAGACCCCTCACCCAGACCCCTCACCCAGACCCCTCACCCAGACCCCTCACCCAGACCCCTCACCCAGACCCCTCACCCAGACCCCTCACCCAGACCCCTCACCCAGACCCCTCACCCAGACCCCTCACCCAGACCCCTCACCCAGACCCCTCACCCAGACCCCTCACCCAGACCCCTCACCCAGACCCCTCACCCAGACCCCTCACCCAGACCCCTCACCCAGACCCCTCACCCAGACCCCTCACCCAGACCCCTCACCCAGACCCCTCACCCAGACCCCTCACCCAGACCCCTCACCCAGACCCCTCACCCAGACCCCTCACCCAGACCCCTCACCCAGACCCCTCACCCAGACCCCTCACCCAGACCCCTCACCCAGACCCCTCACCCAGACCCCTCACCCAGACCCCTCACCCAGACCCCTCACCCAGACCCCTCACCCAGACCCCTCACCCAGACCCCTCACCCAGACCCCTCACCCAGACCCCTCACCCAGACCCCTCACCCAGACCCCTCACCCAGACCCCTCACCCAGACCCCTCACCCAGACCCCTCACCCAGACCCCTCACCCAGACCCCTCACCCAGACCCCTCACCCAGACCCCTCACCCAGACCCCTCACCCAGACCCCTCACCCAGACCCCTCACCCAGACCCCTCACCCAGACCCCTCACCCAGACCCCTCACCCAGACCCCTCACCCAGACCCCTCACCCAGACCCCTCACCCAGACCCCTCACCCAGACCCCTCACCCAGACCCCTCACCCAGACCCCTCACCCAGACCCCTCACCCAGACCCCTCACCCAGACCCCTCACCCAGACCCCTCACCCAGACCCCTCACCCAGACCCCTCACCCAGACCCCTCACCCAGACCCCTCACCCAGACCCCTCACCCAGACCCCTCACCCAGACCCCTCACCCAGACCCCTCACCCAGACCCCTCACCCAGACCCCTCACCCAGACCCCTCACCCAGACCCCTCACCCAGACCCCTCACCCAGACCCCTCACCCAGACCCCTCACCCAGACCCCTCACCCAGACCCCTCACCCAGACCCCTCACCCAGACCCCTCACCCAGACCCCTCACCCAGACCCCTCACCCAGACCCCTCACCCAGACCCCTCACCCAGACCCCTCACCCAGACCCCTCACCCAGACCCCTCACCCAGACCCCTCACCCAGACCCCTCACCCAGACCCCTCACCCAGACCCCTCACCCAGACCCCTCACCCAGACCCCTCACCCAGACCCCTCACCCAGACCCCTCACCCAGACCCCTCACCCAGACCCCTCACCCAGACCCCTCACCCAGACCCCTCACCCAGACCCCTCACCCAGACCCCTCACCCAGACCCCTCACCCAGACCCCTCACCCAGACCCCTCACCCAGACCCCTCACCCAGACCCCTCACCCAGACCCCTCACCCAGACCCCTCACCCAGACCCCTCACCCAGACCCCTCACCCAGACCCCTCACCCAGACCCCTCACCCAGACCCCTCACCCAGACCCCTCACCCAGACCCCTCACCCAGACCCCTCACCCAGACCCCTCACCCAGACCCCTCACCCAGACCCCTCACCCAGACCCCTCACCCAGACCCCTCACCCAGACCCCTCACCCAGACCCCTCACCCAGACCCCTCACCCAGACCCCTCACCCAGACCCCTCACCCAGACCCCTCACCCAGACCCCTCACCCAGACCCCTCACCCAGACCCCTCACCCAGACCCCTCACCCAGACCCCTCACCCAGACCCCTCACCCAGACCCCTCACCCAGACCCCTCACCCAGACCCCTCACCCAGACCCCTCACCCAGACCCCTCACCCAGACCCCTCACCCAGACCCCTCACCCAGACCCCTCACCCAGACCCCTCACCCAGACCCCACACATCCCCCACCCAGACCCCACACAGCCCTCACACGTCCCTTATACAGCCCTCACCCAGCCCGGTAGTAATGTTTGTAATTTGCTGTCTAACCACTAGGTGGTTCGGGATTTGGGAGGGAAGATTCCTCGCACCGCAGAAGATTTGCAGCGCCTCTTGCCGGGTGTGGGCAGATACACCGCTGGAGCCATCGCCTCCATCTCTTATGGGCAGGTAACCGCCACTTCTGCCATTGTCGCCTCCAGAAATTGGGGACACATCAGTTCAGCCAACAGCTTTGCCCGAGGACAATGCTAATCAGCCCCCTGAGGTTAGGCCAGGGCTAGGCAACCTTGACACTGCAGCTGGGGAGAAACTACAAATCCCATCATGTTTCTGCCACTAGGAATCATGCCTGTGGCTGTCAGCCTTGCAATGCCTCATGGGACGTGCAGTTCCACAACAGTCGGAGTGCTGAGGTTGCCTAAACCTGGTCTATGCAGGCAGTGTCTTGGCCGATGACCCCAGTGCTGCAAGAAAGAAGTGCTGACGATCCTTCGAAACGCGTCGGCTGTAGCCAACCATCATAACCAATAAGGACCTGAGTTGTATGACGGTCTGCACCAGGCGCTCCTCACCGCACTGACAGGGCAGAGGATTGTCTTACGCCTGACCCCGGCTGGTTCTTCTCAGTGGCGTCACAAGGGGGGTGCGGCCCGCACCCGGGTGACACCATTGGAGGGGTGACACCAAAATGACTCACAGTTATTTTGGTGTCACCCCCCTCTTAGACGTTGGGCGCTCGGTCATGGACCGAACGCCTGACACTATTAGGAGAGAGGAGGGGACCCGGCGGCATACCTTATCCCGCCGGGTGACTGTGCCCTCCTCTCTCTGCCGGCGTCCATCACCAAGATGGCCGCCGGCAGGTATCAGAGTACTGCCGCTCGTGCGCGATGACGTCACGCGCATTGCGCAGTGACGTCTCGGCGCGGTGACACTCGGTTACCGCTCCGGGTGTCACCCAGCCTCGGTACGCCCCTGGTTCTGACAGAAAGTGACAGTTAATAAGAGATCACATGATGCTTCTGTATTGCAGCCTGGCTTTTCTAAGTCTTCCAGCTGCTGCAGAGCAGTTGGTGGTGGTTGAGGGAGGGGTTGACCCAGATTGATAGCAGCATCACATTGTCTCTCATTCACAATTAACATGGCCGCACATTGCTCCTCCCCCTCTGCAGGTGACGGGCGTTGTGGACGGAAACGTCATCCGGGTTTTGTCTCGGCTGCGATGCATCGGAGCGGATTTCACGGCGCCGGCGGTCTCCGGCGCCCTCTGGTGGGTTCACCTCGTCCTCTCCGTCCTTTCCGGCGTCTTTCTCTCCTCGGACTTTCCGTCTCACCAGATTCATTGTCGCACTTCCAGGAGTTTGGCCAACGGTCTCGCTGACTCGGAGCGGCCGGGGGACTTCAACCAGGCCATGATGGAGCTGGGGGCCACCGTGTGCACCCCCAAGAGGGCGCTGTGCTCGGAGTGCCCGCTGCGGGGTCAGTGCAGAGCCTATAGGAAGGTGAGATGGGAGGGAGGGGGCGGGGTCTCATCTCTGATTGGCTATGGGGAGGATAATGTGGTCTCCATTGCAGTGTTGTGTGGAGTCAGGGTGACGTCTCTCTGTTGCAGGTGGAGGAAGGTTCTGCATCAGCCGACGCTCAGACCGCGGTCCCCCCCGACATCGAGGACTGTGGTGAGTGCGAGCCCATCCTCCATTGTCATCTCTATTATACGGATTTTATTAACACTGAAGTTCAATCTGCTTATATTTGGAGGTCAGATAGAAGACTGAAGGGGAGGACGGAGGTCAGATAGAAGACTGAAGGGGAGGGCTAGTCATGTGACCCTCCTATACATTTTTCTCTCGCAGCCCCCTCCTGTCCTCTGTGCATCCCTTCATGTGACGCGTGGGACGACGCTCTGGGGGTGGCAAACTTTCCCCGCAAATCTGCCAAGAAGCCGTCTCGGTTGGAGCGGACGCTGACCTGCGTAGTGGAGCGACGGGGACAGCCGGGCGAGGCGGAATACTTGTTGGTACAGAGACCTCAGACAGGTACACTACAATCAGAAGTGACAGGTCCCCTTTAAGCCTCGAGCTGAATAGAAGAAGCACAGCCGGCTTCCCCTTACTTGGTGATCTGGGAACCCCGACTTGTGTCTGCTGTGTGATCTGCGGGGTCCCCCGAAACTCTGAAATATTCCAGCAGCTTCAGATTAATGTCATCAGAAGATGTTTGTTTGTTTTTTTACCTCCAGGAGAAATTTAGTTCTGTGGATATTTATTATTATTTATTTATATTTTTTAGATTATATTTG